GTCTATAAACAAAAAAACGTAGATATGGATAAATAACTAATCGATTGAGCAGGGGCGTATTTATGTATTGTGAAGGTGGGTCCTATTTTTTAAAAAAATAGTATAAATTATGCATGAAAAAAAATAGGAACTACCTTATAATTTTTCAATGATCTACCTTATAAACTTTGTCAAAAAGAAAATGGATCAAAATGTATGAAGCCTATGGTTTATATTTCAATCCACTTAAAATAGTTCAATGCCTCAATCCACTTAAAATGTAATAATTAGGCAATAGTCCATCCATTTAAAATTAAACAAAAAAGAAAAAAAAATAGCAAAATAGGCTTGAAATATAAAACGTCGTTTGGGCTGAGGCGTGATCAACATCTCTGAAGCATCATACAATGTCGCCCTAATGATTGCTCCCACCCGACCACCGGTTCCGCTCCTTGTCGTTCGCCGTCTGACCATCGCTATCGGCCCAATGTCGCCCCTCCGCCAGTTCCGCCCTATGTCATTCACTGTCCGACCATCACTACCCACCCAACACCCCCCCCCCCCCTCCAGGCGCTAGCCCACCATTAGTATTATTTACTCTTCATTTTTCGTTTTCACTTACATAAGGAACCACGTGGTTTTTGGTTCTAGATTCGCCACTGCGATTGAGTAATATTCTCGTCGTTTCCGGTCACTGTTTTAAGAGATAAGTAGATTATAACCCGCGTTAAACGCGGGGAACACATAATAATTATAAAAATAAAATTTATGTGAAATAGACGAAAAAAAACATAAAATTTTAAATCAAAAGAAATTACTTGTCACACAAATCCATAAGCAAACAATAAAACCTAATAAAAAAAGTTTTCAACCCAAAATGTCAGATAATAATGAATGACTTAAAGTTATTCAAGCTTTTTCCATTTTGGGGATTTTCAAAGAAGGAGCGACAACACCATCTTTAATGTCCAATGACGAGAACTGTAAAACAAAAAAATAATAAGCAAAAAGAGCATCATTAATGTCGAAATAAATTCTAAATGTAGAAATAAATTCATATATTACTTGTTTGATGTTAATTTTTTTTTCCAATTGAACAATGATTGTATTATCATCAGTGAACTTTAAGATTTCATAACCATCAAGTTTGTTCTTCAAATTATCATTTGAAATTTGAATTATGAACGCAAACTTTTTATCCAAAAGTACATTCATAGTAGATGGATAAATGTCCATATTGCACTCAACGACAAGAAGTGAGAAACAGTAATAAGAACTCAATCAGTCAATTGCTTTGAATCACAGAATCAGGTAAACGAATAAACGATTATGATCAGATTTATGAATTACAGAATTAGTTACAGTTTATTAATTAGAGTTTTGGACAATTATCATTATCACAAATTCACAATTTTATTAGATTTAGTTTTATTAGTTTTAATGTTTTATCATTAACAGTTTAACAATTTTCCTTGAAATTTTGATTCTTGAATACTTGAAATCTTGAATGTTGAATTATGATTCATGAATGAATGTTGTCATTGTTGTAATGGAATCATTTGATTCTAATAGAATGTCACAACCAAAGAAGGAAATCTAAACATGGCTTAACAGGACAAAAAACATGAGAATCAATTCTCTTGATTCTAGAAGAATTAAACACAACTTAACTGTACTGAAAAAAAAAAGATTAACAGAACAGAACAGAACATGGAAAAAAAAAGTTTTCTGAAAAATTTGTTGGAATCCTAAAGTAACTTAAAAACTTAAAATTGGAATGTTTTCCCAAAATACCTTTGGTTCTATATTGTCCAAGATTTTGAATTACTCATTAAAATACTAAGATTTTGCAATGTTTATTGCTATAAAGTTTATCAATGTTTTAAAAAAAAAGATAGTTTATATAATTTAGTTCATTACACGTTAATGCTTAAGGGCTTTTTTTTTCCACCTCGTCCCGGACATTTGAATCTTCAGGACAGACCCTGCAAAATAACAACAAATAATTCAATAAAATATTTAATACAAAAATGTTTTGGTCGTAACATAGCATAACATGATTAGTAAAATAAAAATTGGTATTAGGCGCTAGCCCACCATTAGTATTATTTACTCTTCATTTTTCGTTTTCACTTACATAAGGAACCACGTGGTTTTTTGTTCTAGATTCGCCACTGCAATTGAGTAATATTCTCGTCGTTTCCGGTCACTGTTTTAAGAGATAAGTAGATTATAACCCGCGTCATTTCCGGTCACTGTTTTAAGACATAATTTGTTTGCTTTTTCCGAACATGTTGGGTTAAAATGACGGTGAAATTCTTTTAGGTTTATATACCCTTAGAAACGGAATTGGAACTTAGGCCCGTGATAGTTTCGCATGCCACAAGATTTCTGCAGTCAACGCTCGACAAGGACGTTGTTTTGCAAAATAAAAATCGCAAACTACATTGATTTTCGTAGATATGGCATGCAGAAATTATGACTATTTTACGTATTTTCTATTTTTTTGGCTCTTTTATGAAAAAATCTTAAAAAAAAGATTATTATGGTTATTAGGTTTTTATTTATTTATTTATTTATTTTTTATTTTTTTTTCTGAGTAATTTTCTTACCTATATGCATTAGTAACCTTACTTTTTATTCAAACATAGTTTTCGTAAAACTGATTGCTTGACTAATAAACGAATCAGCAAATGATATTTAATTGGACAAAACTTTAAAAATCATTAATTTAAATCAAAATCACAAATAATTATAATACTTATTTTATTAATATAACTATAACTTTAGTGGTTAAAAAGAATTTTGAGAAAACTGTAAATTTGATGTGTATGGTTTTTGATTTTTTTGGATTATGTATAAAACGTTTTCAACTTTTATCATTGGTTCAAAACAATTCCTTTTTGGTGCATTTAGTTATGACCAATTTGAAATGACTTTTAAATATTTTTAATTATTTTTTTATATTTTCTATATTTTTTATATTTATTTAAATACCTTTTATAATTAAATAACAAAAAGGGCCCATATACCTTAAAGAAAAATAATAAAAATAATAATATTAAAGGTAAATTGATCATTTCAAATTTGCTAGGATTAAATTTAGACAAAACTGTAAAATTAGTTCCAGTGGTTTGCAAAAAACTGTGGATAAAATCCAAAAAGTTTTCAACTTACATGGAAGGTCCAAAATCAGCAATTTTTTTTTTTATGAATTTGGTCATAAAATTAGAAATTTCTTGTGATTTTGGTCCATGGTACACTTGAAAGGTCAATTTTGCCCTTTTTATTTCCTTTTTCTTTTTTTTATTTATTTTAGAATTTAAATAATTAGAAAAAAACAAAAAATAAAATTCCACTCTACTCTCTCTCTCTCTCTCTCTCTCTCTCGCTCTCTCTCTCTCTCTCTCTCTCTCTCTCATTTGATCGTTTCTCTTATTCGATCGTCTTCATCATCCTATTTTCTTCCAAATCAAATCACATACATACAAAAAACTAAAAAATAGTATATAATTGATGATTCGATACATGCAACTCTCTCTAACACACACACACATAATTGATGATCGCTTACAAAGCCTGAGAAATTAGGATTGAGTTAACTCGTGTGGCAGTAGAACACGATGCTTGGTGGTTTTCGTCACCGGAGAACATAACCCATAGGCCTGATCTTTGCTTCCATCTCTCTTTACTGTTGAATCACCCAACCTGGAATCTATTATTTAGTTCCAAATCTGGAATCCACAAAACCCAAACACATTGCATCTGATTTCAAACCCAAACTCACCTCTGTTTCTCTGTTATATATATATATAGAATTTCTTTTTCTTTTGACCTAATGTAAACATCTAATTTCTCCATACAAGTTCTATATATAGATAAGTCTTTCAATTAACCAGACCAAGTTCAACAGAAAAAGTGCTACATAGATAAAGTTTAATCGGACCTCCTGAAGGGGAAGGGGGTTTCATCAGAGGTGTTTTTATGAAACCGGCAGTGGTGTGGAGTACGGTGGACATGCAATATCCGATTGTTGGGTTCAATCATCGAGGTTTCGTGATTGCAGGTTTAAAGCTCCAATATGTGTATCCATTGGTTCGAGAAGGAGAAGGGGAGTGAAGACGATGAGAAGTAACATACTTATCGGTGATGAGGGACAACGAGAAATTTGGGCGACGACCATTACTGCTTCTTGATGGGAATGAAGGCGATGAAGCCGACGTCTTTTTGATGAGCGAGAAAGAGAGAAAGAAATGCAGGGTGAGGTAGTGAGGTGGGTTGCTGTAATGTCGTAGTCCCATTTCTTTTTTTTTTTTTTAATTAAAAAACAATTAAAATAAATAAAGAAAATATAAAAAAACAAATAATAAGGGTAAAATAGTCTTTTCAAATTTCTAAGGACCAAAACCAAAAAAAATTCTTGATTTTGGACATTCCATGCAAGTTGAAATTTTTTTGGACCCTATCCATATTTTTCTGCAAACCACAATGACCAATTTCGCAGTTTTGTCATTAAATTTATCAAAAATTAAGTTTGGCAAACCAAATCCACAAAAACAAAAAGTACCACTAGTTCAAATTGAAACTTGGACCGAATCTAAAAAAAACACAAACCAAAGGGACCATATTTTAGTTTTCTCAAAAACTATTATTATAAAATTATAAACACTCCAAAAATTTGATAAGAAGCTTTTATTTATAAAATAAACAAAAGAGTACAACGTTATTCTTGCCATAACTCTTTTCTTTTAAAAACTAAAAATTACAAAACCCCACAAATCGCTACAGCCATTTGCAAGAACAAAATTCCACAATTCGCCAATCAAAACCCCATTCCAGTAATTGCTTATTGCTTGTTCCTACAATAAACTAACTTTGAGTGTTTGGATAAAATCCAGTTTATTAGATGCTTATTCCCACAATAAGCTAACTTTAAGTGTTTGGATAAAATCCAGCTTATTAAGCTAAATAAGCTAATTTTAATAAGCATCTCTTTCCATGCTTAATGCTTATTGCTTATTCCCACCACAAATAAACTAATAAGCAATAAGCTAATCCAAACACCCCTGAATTCAGATCCATGCCATCTCTCTCTCCTCTCGAATTGGCAGAGAGGGGAGCAGACGCAACTGAACCACTGCAATAGAGCAAGAATTTGCACAACATATAAAGAAAAGCAACTACCTTTTGCTCTTTAATGCTCTCTTTAAAATCATTTCAGGTGATTCTCTTTCACCTTTTCTGACAATCGTGCTCTCATACTCCTTCCCTTTTCTTTTTTGGGTCTCGATGGTGATGACGATGAGAAGAGGGTTTAGATGAGATTATGGCTGCTGTGCTGTTGTCAAACACTATGGCTCAAAACCACAACAGCAATGTAAATAATGATGTGAAACCCACAATTTTTCATGACTTTCTCGGCCGCGATTGTCCTCCGGTGCCCAACTGTGCCGCCGCCGGCGATGCTTCCGCTGCCGGTTCCCCTTCTGCTTCCGCATCCCGTGCTGGTGGCCCCATTTCCACTACTTCTGATCTGGGTTCTGGTATGTAACACCGCAGTGCCCACCAACCGTTTGATAAAATTCCTGCTATTGTCGTATATCCTTTTCAGCTTTTCTTAGTTTTATAATAAAAGGACTTGAATCAAATCCTTGTTAGATGTTTCAATTTCATCATCTTCCAACTGAATTCATATATATGATGCTTTAATGGTGATCATGGTGTGTGACAAATTGTCACATAAGTACATAATTTGATAATTTTCTCATTTTAACCATGGTAGACAGACAGGTTGGATCTCATCTTGAAGGGGTTCCATTCTATGGACAAAAAAGTGATTTTTCAGGCTCAGATATTGGGAATAGATATGCTGGGAATAAACGCAGTAACTCAGATTCTGTATTCTTGAGTTCATCAAGAGATAGCTCACATTTAATGAAGGTCTTTTTTTTTTCAGTATCATGATTATTATATACAATTTTGTTTGAATATATTCTAATGGAAGACCAATTTTATGGTTTAGATGCTGAGAAATGTAGGGCAAGAGCAACAACCAATGAGACCAATATTGCAACAAGCCACAGTTGCAAATGGAAAACCTGATTCCAATCCTTCCAATTCCAAATGGGAAAGAGCAATTCCGGTCAACGTGGGTCCAGTACTGCAGTACCCTTCACGTACTGGTCAACCTCTACCTTACCCATATCAACAAACACTTTCAAACCGATTCAAAGATCCCACCATGGGCACATCTGTCATTTCTCAATCAGCTGCTGATGAAGGATCAAGAACTGGAATCAAAGGGTCTGGAATCTTGAATTCTGGTAATGTCAGTGGTGTTGGTGAACCAAAACACAAGTCTGGAATCAGTGTTCCTGAGCCAGGCTCTTCTACTCCTCTTCGGTAAAAAATATATGATTAAAGACTCGGTTTTTTATTTTTATTTTAAAATAATTTATAATTAAATATTGTGATGGGATATGAGTTTTAGTTCTTATTTTGCAGTCGATTAGGTTCAACGTCTGTAAGTCGTCAGATGACTATATTTTATGGTGGTCAAGCTCATGTTTTTGATGATGTTCATCCAAACAAGGTGAGCTCTAAGGTAGTGTTTGGTATGATGGAATCAGAGAAAGAATGGAATGGAATGGTTCATTCCATAGGAATGAAAAAAAAAAAAAAAAAAAACATGTTTGTTTTACTCTGTGGAATGGAATGAAAAATTGCAATAAAACCCCTTTTTTATTTATGTAGTTTTTGATGACATTAATTTTTTTTTTGTATTATTTTAATGAAGTTGAACATAATTATGAAATGGAATGAAAATTACCTTGCTCATTCCATTCCATTCCTTTATGATTCCATTCCATCGTACCAAACAAACCCTTTTGAGTCCAATGGTTTGGTTTCTTTGTAGGCGTGATGATTTTTTATTATTTTATTATTTTTTGGTTTGTTGCAGGCGGATGCGATAATGG